GTACTGTCTCCTCCATGAGCACCTGATGGAAGAATAGCTGTCAGGAAAACTAGGGTTCTAATCCCTGCAGCTTTGGTCATATCATTCAAACTGAATTTCAGGTCACCATATGTAAATGGATGGGTGATAACTGTCCTTGAGTTATACCATTGGTCCTTACCCTCCTATTTGAAATCACTCACCATCTTAATACAACAGAGTCAAGGGGACCTACAAAGGAAATCCTTATCCACTTCAAAGGGAGGAGAGCAGAAAGGGTATGAGAAAGCAAAGCCTTGCAGAAGTGACTGGCTCACCTTTCTGGGCCTTCTGACATCCCTCAGTTTTGAGCACATAAGGGAGTGAAAGGGGAGCGAGTGCGGGTGGGGGTGTCCCCTGCTTCCTCTCACTTTAGTGACTGTGGTGTCTCAGCAACTACTGTGGTATGAACCTTGGTTACCCATGAATGTGAGCTGTAGGCGATGGCACCCTGGAAGGGCCTGTTCATTGTGCTCAAAACCTCCTTTCTTCTTATCTCTTCCCCCATAACACCCATTCCACTTCAAAACTCAGAGTTCATATACAGGAACACACTACACGCATTTTTCATTCTGGTTGAGATCCATCTACTGAGTACATTTTTGGTATAAATTATCAGATTTTAAAAAATATATGATTAATTTAACTAAGAGGATATTGATTGGTATCTAGCATTTCCATGAATATGTATATTAGGTCCAAGTAAAGAAAATAATGAATGTATTAGAAGTTCATGAAAGACCTTGAGTGTCTGTTCTCAAGTTGTCCTCTGTCTTCTTATATAATGTAGAAGTGATTTAAATTTCTATTTTAAATTTTAAGATAACATGCTTTTCTAAATTTAGATATTAGGATCTTAACCTTTTCTTCATTTAGATATTAGTATCTTAACCTTTTCTTCCTATATTTTTTTATTTCTGTTTTCCATTGCAGGGTCCCAAAATTGGCAACTAAAGTCAGGCTGCCTGAGAAACATGAAGTTAAAAGCACCAGAGGTAATCCCTTCTGTCTCAATCAAAGGTCAGAGGTACTTGCAGCTAATTCATTCTCCCTGGCTTTACCCCATCTTTTTTCAATGTCTACTTGGGGTTCATTCTACAGGGCCCGGAGTTCATAATCCCAAGATGGATCTTGCAATATTTCTCCGGTGTCACTCACTCTTTTGCGGGTAGTAACGCTACATCTGTGCCAGCACTTTTCAAAATAGCTGAACAGCAACCACTCCTCTGCCTTTCTGCTAATGCATTCAGTTGTCTGCATGATTGAATCTTTGAATGCTGATAAAAGGGGGAGACAAATCCTTGAGGGTTGGCCTGGACACATAAGCCTTGATAAACCCTCTTCCAAGAATCCTTTTTGAGAGTCTCAATATGATATGTTGAATTGAGATATAATTGACATGCAAACCAAGAGTCTTGTAGCATTTACATGAACAAAAAGAAATATATTTGTGATTTCTAATATATATATATAAATGATGTTTTTCTTATGCAGTTTATGTAAGACTCATAATACAAACTTTTGGAACAAAATGTTGCATAGATACAGCAGTATTATAAAAATCTCAAGAAAGAGAGACCTGAATCCCAACAAAGGTGGGTCTGCAACCACTAGAGGCAACACATGACTACCACTAACTGTTTTATTGAATACATGACTTTCTATCACCAAGTTTATAACATTTTGTATTCTTTTGATGTTTAAAACGCTATCTTTTCTTTTCAGCAAAGATCACCTTATGGGCTTCCTATCTGTCCTGTGACAAATTCCCTTTTCTGAGAAGAATAAAGTAAAAGGATTCTTCTGTAACCTTTACTTGAAATCATGTCATTGTGGCAAGCAATAAAACAAAATTGTGAAGTTGTTTCTCAGACTGATGTCATCTATCAATGTGACCCCAAATCAAGCAATCATGATTCATTTATTCTATCAACACTGTTTGCACACTGGCCTCACCTGTCCTATTCCCTGGAAGTCAGAACTCTGTAGAAGCTCTGGGTGGGCAGAGTGCTCGAGGCTTCCTCCTTGCCAGGGCTGGAAGGAAATGGCCCTTGAGGGCTTGCACCTTTTACTGCTGCAGCTGCTGCTTCTACTCACAGCCAGCATTTATTCAATCTTTTCAATTATCAAACATTGTTACAGGTACTTCACATGATGATGTCATTGGTCACAACCACTGTATTAGTAGGTTTTATTTTATACACAGGAAACCTGAGATTTGGGGAGATAAAATAATCTGCTCAATGTGATATGACTAGTAATTGGCAGAACCAAGATTTGGGTCTGTTTCCTCTAATATTGGTAACTGCTGTCCACACCTCCTCAGTATGCCATGTGGCAATGCCTTAAAAATGTGTTATTTAGAGAGGGGCAGGGACATTCAATTCACCATCAATAGTAGTGCTTTTCTCATCTATTCCACACTGAAATCATTATGGGTTGGAGCTATGAGTGCTTGACAGTACTGTCACTGGAGAGGGGAACTCAAGGAATGAAGGATGATTAGGAGTTCATGGCCTGTTTTCCTGACTGTTCTCTAAACTTAAGGTTTTTAGTGGTTCAGTATCTAAAAATTAAAGAACATGACCATTTAATAGATCACATGAGGACATTCACAAATTTCTTTTGGTATAGTATTTAGAACATATTCTTAGCCATTTCAACTAATATTTATTGGAATCTCATTGTATGGCAGACACTGTGGATACAAACGTGAATCAGATGGACACCGTCCCTTTGTTTTGCTGAGTGGAGGAGAAGGTGGTCACCTATGATGTCAGAGAAATGAGAAAGGACTCCTGCTGTGGGACACACTGCAAGGGAATTGAGATGAGGATGCAGGATAGAATCTTCAAGTTCCTAGTGCTGCAGACTTGTTGCAGGGCCCAGAGAAGTTCCTTACACTCTGTGACCTCCATTTCCTTGTGCAGAGTGGGATAATAACCACCACATCGCAAAGGCTTTGGATAAAGTAATTAAATTCCTATTTAACTTATTACATTGGTCAGCGGGTGATTGGTGAAAAACTCATGAAGCTATTTTGCCCTTTGATCTTTTCTCTAAACACTCATTAACTGGGGAGAATAAGGAAGAAAGTAGAAACAATAGATAATAGGTTTAATAAACAGAAATGAAACAGAAGAGTACAGTTAGCTGATTCAATTTAATACTTAATGTTGGATTCTGCTTTATTGGATTCTAATAAGAGAAGCAGATATAAAATCTTAGATCCAAGAAACTTCTGCCACCTAACTGTATTATCATAGAGGAACCTGCCATACACTTCTATCTCTACTTCCATATCAAGGAACTCACTAATAAATTCAGGTAATCGGTGTGATATGAGGAAAGGAGGGAAAGAAACAGCTTATTCAAAAGACACATTTTGCCTGGAGAAGAGCAGATTTGGAGTGAGGGCAAGTCAAACTCGTTCTGTATGACTTGCCCAGAATCCATACCAATGACTAGAACATACCTGGACACAGGAAGTGTTCTATAACTCCTGAGAAGCTTGTAAATGTGATAAGTCAAATGGCACAATAGTGAAAGTCAAAACTACCTTCACCTGAGCTGTTACCCCTTAAGGTTCTGGTGAGATGCAGGGATCCTGTCCTAGTCCTTCTAAGATCCTGTTGAATCTGCTTCTATGACTTGAGCAAGAATTATATTTTATTTGCAAATAGTATTTGTTACAAATCATCACTAAGTCTTGTATTTGTATACCTTCCATTTTTTTATCTTAAAGGCCAGCCTGGAGAGCTTCTTTGTTATAGAGCAAATTCTGTGGAATCTGTTGAGTGATGTTCCACAAACCAGCTTATTCACTCAAATAATCCCCATGAATTCACTTTCCTAAGGTCTGAAATTCCACAATAAATCACTATCATTAGGGTTTAACACATTTTTGGATCAAAAATCTCATTCTAGTGATTGCAAATGTTTCTGAAATGAGGATCACCATGGAGAATTTGGGCCAGTCTTTATTTTTTTCAAGGAAAAAATAATCTATGATGCTTTTTGTCCTTTCAATGTCAACTCCAGTCCGTCAATAGTGGCTGCCCATAGCACTGTGCTCTTATAATTCTAAGGTTGAGCTTGGCTCGGAGGGGAAGAGTTTACTGGTCAGTTAGTCACAACCTCGGTAGGTAACAGTCTGACAGTATTCACTCAAAGGATGGAACTTAGTTTAAAAGTTCCATCTGATAGTTCCTGGAGGCTTATAGTAAGAAGTCAAGGGAACAGTGTGACAGTATTCACTCAAAGGATGGAACTTAGTTTAAAAGTTCCATCTGATAGTTCCTGGAGGCTTATAGTAAGAAGTCAAGGGAACAGCTCTAAGGACAACTGACAGAAGAGACACTGAGCATTAGGACTATTTAGAAGATCCCAGAAAGGATGGTGGAAACTGATCAAACATAGTCTTCTCCTTGCCAACCTTGGCTTTCTACCATATAGGGCCACCTGTATCCTCAACCAAAAGCTAATATGTTCCAAGTCTAAATAACAGATTTGGGGGTTGTTTTCAGGAAAATATATCTCTCTCATCCATAGTAAGCATTTAATAAATTAGGTCCCAATTCCTTGGATTTGCTCCCAATGCATGTGGGACTTGAAACTCCTCTTTTTCCAGGGTCTTGTAAATATGCCCAGCATTGACACCTGGGCCCTGACCATTTACTTAAGCTAGGGTAGCACATGTTTACTGTCTCCCTTGACACTTCAGAACTTTGTACGTGTCAATAAGAATTTCTAGGAAATAAGATATTGCAGACTAGTATTTACCAAAGGTGTTTATTATTTTATTACGAGGCCTGCATTTTGTAATCTTGGAACAAACAAGATTGACATGACTTGTTTTAATATCCAGTAGTCACTAAAGAATTCAATCCATCAATAATATTTCTTCATTGTCATGGATTTCCTCAATTCTCTTTAGGGTCAAAGTGGACTTAGAAAAAAATATTAGCCAGAAAAGTTAATTGTTAACAGTCAATCCTCAAAAAGAATATGAATAAATTCTTCATTTCTTTCAAATGACAGAACATCTTCCATAAAGATTCATCTGAAATAATGAAGACTCTTAAACCCATATGTTTTCTTGTTTTCTTCAGCTACATTAAATGTCAAATTCTTCAGACAAGCTTACTACATGCAGGTAGGAAATCCTACTGATAACCTACACATCACATGTGTAAGGCTAAGGCAAGTAGGCATAATGACTATGAAAATACACGTGGAAAGACTTACTGTCTCAGCAGTCATGCTGTCAGTAGAACCACTGAAAATTGCTGAACATTAGTGTGTGGGATGAAGTCAGAAAAAGGAAATGCACCAAGACAAAACATACACGAACATCTCACTTTAGCCTTACTTTCACTTTAGGTCAGAGAAGCAAACCAATATTGGAAATTGGATAAAGGAGTTTAGGCAGAGAAATAATATGAATGGTAACAGCAATAACATTATAAGCTTCATTATTCAGTATCTGTTATGTGCCAACCCAATGTTTGGTACTTCACACTTTTATTTAATCTTGACCACCTGATATGATATGTACATTTACAGCTAGAGAAATAAACTCACAGAGCTTAAGATATTTTCTACAAATAGAAGTTGAACTTAGGATAGCTCTCTCCTAAGCCTTTCTCATCTTAATATAGCAACTAATAATAGTATGTTTATTTAGTAAATAGCTGCCAAGTCCTTTAGAAGCTCTTAGTATAAGAAGGAAGACACTGTTTACGGTAGCGTGGTGGGCAAATCCGAGGTGTAAGACATCTTCTCTATCAAATTAAGCCTGGCAAGGTGTTAATGTTTACAGTTTTGTTTCCCATGCTAATATTTAACTGTGGGTGTGCTAATAACATCTAATTAAAGAGTTTAATAACCAAATCATCAAATTTAATTAACTCTGAAGTGTCAACACAACCATATGCAGCTTATTTGTAGACCAATGATAGAGTTCAGCTACACAATATGTTTGAATATAAATAAATCATTCATAGAAAACAGTTTAAAGACAAGTGAAAACATATTCTGGTCATTCATCTTATTCATTATGGCAATTAAGAATAGATACAAAAATTTATTATTATGTAAATACAGATTGAAGAATTTAAAGGGAGATTTAAATCTGGAAATTTTCCTCTTTTCTAAATGTCTTAGTCCATCTGGGATGCTATAATAAAATACCATGAATTGAGAAGATTATAAACATCAGAAATTTATTTTTTACAGTACTGGAGTCTGGGAAGTCCAATATCAAGATGTTGGCAGATTCTGGATCTGGTAAGTACTCTTATATTTGTATCTTGTGTAAATTCACTGTATGATTCATAAATAATGCCTTCTTGCTATGTTCTCACATGATAGGAAGAAAGAATGAGCTCCTTTGGGCCTTGCTTAAAAGACATTCCCCTTCATGACCTATTAGAAGTCCCCACCTTTAATACCATCTCTCTGAGGGTTAGGACTTCAATAAATGAATGTGGGAGTTGCAAGCACCCAGTTCATCAGCAAATAAAATTTTATTTTTCAGCCATGCAGCATCTTAGTACCCAAAATTATGTGGAAGAGAATTTAAAAGACCTGTGAGTTTTATCATTAATATTCTTTTGTTTGAAATTTAAAAATACAGTTTTGGGGCTGGGGTGAAGCAACAGTGATATAATAAAAAACAACAGAGAAAAAGGGTTTGATTCTATCTTTAACAATCACCAATATGTTTCAGTACCAGCATTATGATTGCTCAGTTTCTTCAGAAAGCAACTTATGAAGAAATACAAACTGTGGCTCAACAGTTACTAGATCTTGTGGAAAAGTGCAAGAATTTTAAATCACATGTGTCAGCCACAGAATGTGCTCATCAGTTGGTAGGTGAATCATAGACTACTTCTTTTTAAAACTATATTGTAAACAAGAGGTGTTGCTATGAAGAGTGGGCTGCTATAATTAGGTAGGGGATTGTAAAGCAAGAATATGTAGAGTCACAGCTCAGACATAATATCTGTAGGTTTATAAACCTACATTTTATCAGTTCATCCTCGGACATCAGATTCTGAGAACCAAACCCTCAAGAGAAGGATTTATACCTTGAGCACAATGTGCTAACTTGTTGGTTGCTCTGACTGAGTCTCTAAGCACTATTATCTGACATCCACATTTAAAGAATTCTGGGAAATTGGAGTATTAATTATAAAAAGTCTCTGAGAGGACATAAAAAAGAAGAAAGAAGTGAATAATATTACAGACTGCTTTCCCAGTTAGTAAAGAGTTGTGGGAATTATTATTATTTCTTTATAAACTATGTCTCTCTTGTGATAGCAAATTCCCTCAAAATCAGGATTCCCTCAAGAGATTCTTGATAAACACCAACATGGTCTTACAGCACACATTTTTTTTTCTTTTTACAACACACATTTTGATCCATTATTCTCATGCTAAATAATTTAAAATGTAAACCATTTTTCTTCTTTATCTACATTTTTTTTAAACTTCATCTTCTTAAGGCTAAAACCTACCTATATCTTTTTACTGGATTCTGAATAGACAGAAAAGTCATCAGTCTCATTCGAAACACATTTGAAATGAGGTTCTTCTATCAATGTCTCATTTTATAGTGTCACTGTTTTATTGTGATTCCTATTTATTTCCATTTCAAAAGATGACATGTTTCTGCTCTTATCCCTCACATCTGAAAACAAATGTCACTTAAGGTTTCCTGAATCCCACACATTTATTGCCACTTAAAAGTAGTTGAAAGCTAACCAAAATTATTGTATTTCCATGTGGATATTTGAAAACAAATACACATTACTTCAAAGTTCATTTCCCAAAATAAGTTCTCATGGAAACAAAACTAAAGAAGTAATGAAAGCTATTTGGAAGTAATGAAAGCTATTTCTTGGCAAATCCTTCTCTTTATGTATACCTTGCCCTTTGAATTTCATTTTGTTAGGATCCACTTTTTAAACTTCCCTTCCCCTAGAGTTACAAATTCTGCATGTACCAGTGCCTTAGACGTATGTGAAACTGAAGTAACTGGATGGAAGGAACCCTCCACAGGGCTTGTCTTCCAAAGTACTCAGAGAAACAAAACTATAAACCTTCCTAAGGGTGTTATAAAGCCATTTGAAAAACTCAAGAGTAAGGCTTATGAATGGAAATGTAGTACCAAAGTCACATTCTACTTTAAAGGATGATAAATATAGATGAGTTTAAAAAAATAAATATAATTTGCCTAAACAATCTGGCTTATGTTTATTTATTTTAGTAACTCAACTGTTTGAAAATGAAACAATTGCTTTGGAAAAGGGAGAATGAAAAATTCTACTTGGTTAAAGTCCAAATTTGGGAATTTAGACTTAAACTTAGGTTAAAGTCCTCGAAACTAAAAGACTTCTGCTCAAAAGAGCTACACCTAGGGACTAGTTTAATGTTATATACTTAGTTTCTTCTTCTTTATAATAATTTCTTAACTTTCCTGCAGTTAGGAGTGTCAATTACATAGACTCTTCCCTCTAAGTCATCATTCTTCCTATAGATGACCAGCTTCCTAGAGCATATTTGTGACAACCAAGGAATGCTTGCCAAACACCTGTTTACTAACTGTTGTAATACAAATAGCACAGCAAGGCTCAAGTGCTTCTTATTCTATAAAAAAGATTATGGAGATCATAAGGATAGATTCCAAAGTCTAAAGCCTGAGATGATCTGTGAAATGGACAAAGAAAATCAAGTGACCATGAAGGAGAGGTAAGCCATCTTTATTTGACATTGTCTCTGAAGGAGAGTATTTTCCAACATTGAAGACAGATTATTTTTTAAATTTAAGTTCCTCTGAGGATACAATGTTTTATTACATGGAATTAAATTAAAAATTTGAGACACTATATATATATATATATATATATATATATATATATATATATATATTTCTCCCTCGTAATGACAATTACTATTCTATTGAGACAACAGGACAAAAAATCTCTCTGTGTGAAATAAAAGAAAAATGAATAGGACCTATAAGACTAGTCTTCTTGAGAGCTAGATTAGGCAGATTAACAGCAAATGATATTGGAAGGTATAGTCAAATAGGCAGCCAAGTAGGCAAAACATAATAGCATAATAAACAAGTAGAGACAGAGACCAGGTAATAGGGACCAGCATTAGGGAGGGTCAATGATAAGTAGCAGAGAGGTTATCTGACAAGCATGAAGAAAAAGTCTGTCATTGAGAGCCTAGAAATAATCAGCAGTTGTAGGTTAGATAGAAATGAGTTTTCAACTTAAAAAATCCTGGCTCTGTAATTTCCATGTGGAGCGGATAGCACTCCAGCAAATATGTTGCTGAGCTCATAATTTGGAGTCCTACTTGGCACAGCATTCATATGATGAGTCTGAAGAGGGTACTAGCAAGCAATTGGGGTTTACAGTCAGAAAAGGACTGGGAAATATGAAACTTTGACTCTCAAAGAATGCAGTTCTGGCTATATTAGTCAAGACAGGCTCAGACATGAAGAATAAGGCAGATGATAGACTGTAGAAACAAAGCAGTGATTTGATTTTAGGTTTTAGACATGCAATCCAGACCAGGCATGAATAGGAGACAGGGCAACTGGATGATGAATGGCTTAAACTCCTTTACTTCACCCATATGAGGTAGAAATGCTTCTGGATCTTTCTGAAACTTCAAGAAGGAATTAAATTGTATCAGACATTAGGGAGGAAGGACTCGGGGATAAAGGAGTCAAGCAAGTTCCAGCATGCCTCATGTTAGGGGAGACCAGCTGGGAATCCAAACATGAGCTTAACTACTCATTTATTAAAGTGTTAACATAGGCTATCATTGACCACAGTTTCATGCCCAACAACTGGCCATCTCAAAGAGTCCCTCCTGGCACCGGACTGGGCACACAGCCAGTGCACCGCAGAGTCTAAAGGGTGTTGCAGTCAAGGACGCAGGCCTCGACTGCCATGTGGCTGCTATGCTCCCACCCACAGCTGCACCTCTAGTTCAGCTGCCTGTTTCAAGACCTCTTTCTAGAGGACCTTCTGCAGAGGCATTGCCAGTGTACCTCTGCGTAAATCCTGTTACTAGGGAATGAAAGGAGAAACTTGAAGACATTTCTCTACTCTGACTTTTTCCACTCCAGCCTTTTCCCTCTTCCTCTTTCTCTTGCTCCAGGGTGCCTTTTTTGGGGGACTCCCTCAGGGATGAGCAGACCCCACATCTATGCTGATCCACTGGATCCTTTTCCCTGGCACATGGGAAAAAATGGGACAGAGGGAAATTGGCACTTTCTTCAATTTAGCCCTTGTTTTTTTATGATGCTGGTAAATGATTAAAAGTGTAACTGTTACTTCAATTTTGGCTTCTAGTCATACTTGGCTACTTTGACACCTGATAGCTCAGCTCTTTCCAGCTCACCTCAAATCCTGACCATTCTCCTCCACAGTAACTATCTTTCCAACAGAAAGATAGTTAGGAATTTCACAAAGCACTGAATGGCCAAGCTGAGAAGGGGTAGATAGAATACTTATTCATATTTTATCAGCCAGAACTCAGTTTTATGTTCTCAATTTAAGTGGAAGAGAGACTGGAAAGGTAGTCTTCCTGTGCACACAGGAAGAGAAAATGGATTTGGGTGAGCATCAAATCACTTTTTATCTGTAATGTTGCCTTTTGTTGAGTATATTTGCATGTGTGAGCAGGTTGGTCTTGAATAAGCCTTAAAGACTAGTAAGAGGAAATGGTTATTGGGAATTCAGTAACAAATGAATGCATTGAACAACACACCTTGAAGGGCAATGGTGTTAACTCTCATAAAGAACTTCTGAAAGATCGTAAGAGACTTCTGTGTACCTGTCAATTCTTCTAAATTTAATTCTTATGCAGCACTGTTTACAATTCAGTTTAGACTCTTGAACTTTCTACATTCCACTCTATAAAAAAGTGGGAGGTTATATTACTGAGTTTTCTTTTCCCTCAGGCCTTGGTCACTTCATGGGCATTCAAGGAATGTCTGACCAACCTCACAGTGATCTGTCCATAGTGAAGATGTGAAGCATTTAAGCAAAGTGTGCTATTTCATCCTAATCACTATGCATTTCTAGAAGTTTCAGGTCAATAAAACGAAATGAATTCTGTTTTTAAGAAATAGTATCACCATTAATTATTTAATTCCAAATTATACAATTTTGTGTTTGTCAAATTACAGGTACAGTTATGAAATTTCTAGAAGGCATCCATACTTATATGGACCCACTATCCTGACCATGTCTGCTTGCTACAAAACAGCTATTCAGTCATGTTGTCAAGAGGAAAATAAGACCGAATGCCTGCAGATAAAGGTATAATAGACACAGGCCAATGGCTTTTTAGGGCCTTGCTATGGCAAGTATGACTCTGGATGAACAGTATACTCATCCCCTGGCAGCTTGTTAGAAATGCAAAATTGGAAGCTGATCTCTAGACCTACTAAACAGATTTCATTTTAACAAGATACGCAGGAAATTCATCCAATCATTAAGATTTGAGAAGCATACTATAACATAGATATTACTTCCTAATAAATAATAAATATTTAATATTCCAGCCACTATTTCTGCATAATAAAACACCTACAACTCAATAACTATCAGTTAACTATCTCTTATAATTTCGGGGGATAAGGAATTCAGGAAATAGCTCATCTGGAGGTTTTTGGCTCATGATAATTCATGTGGCTTCATTTACATGACATCTGGGATTCTGCAAGCTGAAGCACTGGGCATTGGTTTGCCATCTTTTTTTTTTTTCTTATAAAATATCAAATGTCTCTCCATGCAGTATCTCTGCCCTGGGTAAGTTTGGGCTTCCTCATAGCATAACAGCCTGAGGGCAGTTGGATGCTGACTTGTAGCTTAAGGCTTCAAGGCATTGTGTAATGGATAAAGACCAAGTTGCTTGGTCCTTTATATCTAGTGTCAGAAGTCATTTTTGCCATGCTCTACTGGTTGACACACTATGAAACCTCACCCATTTGGAGGGGACCATACACCTACCTTACCTCTTGATGGGAGGATTGTTGAGATCTCTTTGTAAGAACATGGGGTATGAGATGTTGTTTTAGCCACCTTTGGAATATATATCTGACAAGCAACTTTGTTATGTGGCCTTTCCTCCTTCATTGTATAGATGTGAATCAGTAAGTAGTTCCATTGTAAAGGCATTTTTTTTTTTGCATTTTCACTAAAGGTTCTAAATATTAACATAAAGTGATCATCTTTATTTTACTGAAGGAATACTAGGTCAATTTTCCAAAAGTCATGCTAAAAATGAATATTAGTTTAGCAATTATTTTGATGAATTCCTCAAGACTAAATGCAGTGCCACTTTTTCCTTGCTGTCTTCTTTGAACTTCTCATTGAGAAATTATCTCATTTCCTCTAAACCTCATATTTTAGAATAGGACAATTTTATTTCTCTTAATCAGCTTTTCCTTGTCTATCAGAAATTAAATTAAATGATGTTTCTTGCATAGGCTAAGTACTCAATGATTGTAGCTGTTTTCCTTAAATCTATTTATATATATTTCCTATTTCCCTCCTCATTCTTCTCTTGATAAACTCCAGTTAGGTCGGAAGTCTATTCCAAATTCCTAAGCAAGATAGTCATTTTTACTTCTTTTGGTTTCATATTAATTAAAAACCCAAAGCCAGTTATCATGTAGAGACATATCTCAACACCCAGCATTTCTGAAGGATGTTCCCTGCCCCCATGGAGGTGAATTTTATAAATAACTTGCATGTATTTATGTTTTAATTATAAAGTTTTTTATAATTAGATTTTTTCCAGGGGAGATTTGTCCTAAATTTCCCCATATTGTTAAACACAAGCAGGTGCTGTAAGTTAGCTAAGAAATCTTTCCCCCTCTTCCTCACTTGGTGATATTTATAGTGTGGCAACTGCTAGGATTTCTGTTCCTAGTGACTCTTGCTGCTTCCTTAGGAAAAGTTACACAATCAATTGTGTAAAACTTATGTCTATGATCAGAGAATGGGATCTATGAGTTAAAACTCTGTTATGGGAAAGTGGATAATCTCAATTACATTTGATTTTGAATGAGTGTGATACAACAAAATAATAACAATCCATAATTGATTATAAAATAAAATTAAGTTGTATTTGATAATATTCAAGTCAAGCTATTATTATCATGATAGTTTTGTGGTTTGAATATTACCTTTATATACATTATCTGTCTTGTTTTTGAAAATATCACTGTAAGGCACAGTTACTCATAGGAAAAAATAATATATGGTCAATATAATGTTTTAAATGAAAATATAGAACTTTTTGGAAACTTTTAAATATTCTGTTTCTACCACATAGAGATGACAATTGGGGTATATTTGCTTTTAATAATAATAATGTCCTCTGTTCACAGATTTCCTCACAGATTTTATTTTAAACATGGTTGTGATCACACCGAACATACAGTTTTTATCAGAGCTTAAACATACTTGTTTTCATTAGAAATATAAATTTCTCAAAAATAATGTGCCTTATTTAACTGTCACTCTGAAGTTGTGTTATTTTATTTTCTCAAAATTTTGCTATCATAACAAAACGTGTATGCATTTATTTTTGCATAATTATGTTTTTATTTATTTATGGAAATTTGTGATAGCTTCAAAAGTAGAAATCTGGGTAAACGAATATAAATATTTGGCTGGGCATAGTGACCATGGCTATAATCCAAATTTCTGGGAAGGTTCAGGCAAGAGGATTGCAAGTTCAAGGCCGGTCTGAGCAACTTAACAAAACCCCATCTCAAAATTTGAAAAAGGGGCAGAGATGTAGGTGAGTAGGGGTAAAAGCCTCTGCGTTCAATCTCCAGTACTGTAAAAACAAATAAAAACAAAAGAAGAACATGTGGAGGAGAAGTTAATTAATAGATATTGTAAACTGGGCACATTTTAGTTAAGCAGCATGAGACTTGTCCAAGATGGCAAGGTTAATAACTTTGATAAAAGCAAAATACAACTGTAAGACATTATTGAAATTTATTCTGGTGACTTTCCAAGTTTTTATTTGTTCACTTTCTTGTTCTCATTTATATTCCAAATGTTGAGGTTCTGGGACAAGTGATCTCTAGGGAAGCAAGATTCTATTTCCCAAGAAAAACCATATTAATGCTTTTACGTTTTGCCTCTTTTAAGTATTCAGTGGAAGACTTTCTAATTTCAAGAAGATATATAATATTTATTTTTCTTTCCTTGGTTTTTACTAATTCTGAGATTAATGTTTTCTGTTGCTATCATATTTCTTTGATATACTGTTTCTCTATTTACAGCTAGAACCCATCAGAAAATACATTAGAGAAATATCTTTGAGACATCATCATTTATGTGAAATTGGGGTTAAATTCAACCACAAAGTAGCAAAAGCTGTGTAAGTTATCTGTGTGGATTTGTGGACTTTGTTGCTCTTTTGACTAAACTTGAAAAATCATTTACCCTCTCACTTAGCAGTGTCTGTCAATAGAAACCTGGCATCTTTCTCTAAATGTGTTACTTGCCTGTTCAAATAGAGCACACAAGGCTGTGGATGAAATTGCATAATACCCAACTGCCCCCATCATCTCCTGCTTCAAGTTTTCCCATTTGCTTCAATCCCTTCATTTCTTCTTCAGTGAACCAAAGATTTTGGACATTCAGATACAGGCATTTACTAAAAAATTTGTCCTGCTAAAGGTTAGAGGACAAAAGGTATTCTTTTCTTTTGGAAGATAGGAAAGATTTTGGCTCCAACATCATGTAAAATAGAAAAAGTGAGGAGTGCTTTTGAGGGTGGAGATAGAGAATTTGATGCTGCTCAGCTGCCTCCTTTCTGGTCCAGATGACATTTCTGTCCAAGTTAACCCATGAAGACAGGCATCTTCCTTACATTGCCTTCTTCCCTAATTTAGGACAACAGTGAACTTCCTGGGAGCTCAGTTATCCTTTCACAGAAAGACCAGAGAGATTTCAGGGAAGTTATTCTCTTGTCCACTGAAGTAAGGGATCCAGCCTCATAATCTCTGCTTTGATGTTGACAAGGTTTAAGTGGGAAGTCAGACATTTCCAAGCCTAGCTAGCCTTGCATTTCATTGCCTAGCTAAGCAACTCAAGTTCTTTAAGAGATCACTAAAATGATGAAAATTGCCATATTTTACATGATGTTTAATTGCTTGTTTCTGTGACTTGATCTCTGGCTGCTGTCACTGAAGGAGTAGAATGCATTTGTAATGTTCTCTCTTCACATTTGCAAATACGTTTCTCTTCTTTTGGTTACTTGATGAACTAGAACTAATTTTAGAAATGATAAAGTTCAAAATACTGTTTAAAATGTGTTATTTTACTTTTCAGGGAATTGGTTCTGCTCACTAAAAAACAACCTAAATCTAATTTTTCTGAAGTTGCCAAACTGACCACTGATGTTAAAAATCTGCATGAGACCTGCTGTGAAGGAAACACAGTTGCGTGTGCTCTTGGTAGGGTAAGAACCTTCTTCCTAAAACTCACTTTATTCTTTAAACAGCTTTAAATTCTTAAATAATGGTACAGTGGTAAATAATTGATCTAGAAAAATAAGGATGATTTCTCAATATTATCAGTAGAATGCCGTCTCCCTCCTCTCTGGTCCCAGTTCATGTAGTAATTTTTCCTCTCTCCTTTGTTTACTTTCTTACTTCTTTTATTTTAATTTACTTATATGCTTGTTTGTTTGTTTATTTCTGTGCTGCTGCTGGGGTTGAAATACAGGGCCCCTCACACATGCTAGTCAAGGGCTCTACCACTGAAGTATACTCTGAGCCCCTATTTCATTATTATTATTATTATTATTATTAGGGTTTTTTTAGTTATACATGATAATAGAATCCATTTTAATAATAAAAGCATGGAATGTATCATGTTCTAGTTCAAACCCCAGTACGTCTCCTTCCCCTTCCTTTCCTTACACTCTCATCTCTTCTCTATATTGATCTTTATGCCATTTGCCTACAGTTTTTTTTAAATTAATTTCTTGTAGATGCACTTGATGTGAGATTCACTGTGGTATATTCATGTATACATAGGAAAGTCATGTCGGATTCATTCCACTGTCTTTCCTATTCCCATCCTCCCTCCCTTCTCTTCAATCCCCTTGTCTACACACTGACCATCTATTCTCCAGCACCCCCTCCACCTAGTGTGGGTTAGCTTCCATCTATCAGTGAAAACATTTGATCTTTGGTCTTTGGGGATTGATTTACTTCACTTGTCATGATACTCTCCAGATCCATCCGTTTACTGGCAAATGTCATAAAGTCATTTCTTCTTATGGCTGATTAATATTCCATTGTGTAATACTCCATTTGCTTTATTCATTCACTTACTGAAGGGCACCTGGGTTGGTTCTGTAGCTTGGCTAGCTTGGCTATTGAAAATTGTGCTACTATAAACATTGTACAAGAAGGTTTTCACTATTTTTTTGTAGAGTTCATTGCATCCTACCATGTTATTTTACAGCATTATGTCACAAAGCAGTATGTCTGTAATGAACATTAATATTAAATATTAAGTAACATAAATTAATATAGTTTAACATTCTTTATGTCAGCCAGTCAACACAATTCAATTAGGTTCTCTCTCTCTTTCCCTGATTTCATAGCACTATAGGAACAACTTACTAAGATTGTATAGTAATAACTTTTTTTATTCGATAAACCATTTTATAGCATTTAGTTTGTGTTAGGCTCTGTTATTTGATATTAAGGAATATCAATTCATTTAATTCCCACAGCCATATCAAGTATTATTATTTTTTATTTTTTATTTTTTAATATTTATTTTTTTAGTTTTCGGCAGACACAATATCTTTCTTTATATGTGGTGCTGAGGATCGAACCCGGGCCGCACGCATGCTAGGCGAGCGCGCTACCGCTTGAGCCACATCCCCAGCCCAAGTATTATTTTTAAACCCATTTTATAGATTAGAAAATTGAGATACAAAGAGATGAAGCAACTTGATAAAGTTGCAGAGCCAGGAAGTAGCAAAGTCAAGATAGCTCTGTCTTTATGATTTTATCTGTCAATCAATGCAACAATTTATTATTCCACAATAAATGGTGGGAAAAGTTTTTCATCTTGGAATTTCTATATTCTTACAGTTTCATTTATCAAATTTTTTCTCCTTTTTTACTACCCTTTAAAAATTGATATTCTAGACAGATGTGTTAGTGGCTTTATTTTATTTAATTTTTTGTGTACTGGGGATTGAACCCACGGGATGCTTAACCACTGAGCCACATCTCTAGCCCTTTTATTTTTTATTTTGTGACAGGGTCTTGCTAAGTTGCTGAGACTAGACTTGACCTTGTGATACTTCTGTCTCACCCTCCTGGATCACAGGCGTGCTCCACAGTATCAGCTGACCTTTCTTTTTCTTACCCTATATGTTCTGCTCCAGATGTTGTTATCCGGCAAAGGATTCAGGCTCCTTTTCCACAGTCCAGGGTGGTTGCTGGGCCATGAACTGTATTTCCTGCCTGTCTCAAAACTAGTTTTGTTCAGAGGTGGTCTATACCTTTTTTAGGTCTGACCCATAGAAACTTCCTGGCTATATTCTACAATACCCCCCAATACCTGGTAGACTTTAATGCTGAAGGCTACATTGGAAGGCACAGGTTGGATATGGCAAAGCCTCTGTCAGCCAACTTCCCAGAACTACTGCCTAGAGGACATATACCTTTCCTCCCTGATGGGACTTTTGGAGAGAGATGACCTTGTGTTTGTTGAGCCACCGAGAGCATGGTGCTTGCTTAACTGAGGCACTTTCCCTGAAGCACACTTGACTCATAATTTAGTTTCAACTAAAGTTACTACTCTCAGATTTGTACCTTCATTCTATTCTTCTTTCCTGAGTCATTAGTTTATACCCCCAACTTGTTAGAGGAAATCTCCTTGTAGATGTCTCATAGATGCCTTACATCGTATTGAACTCTATATATCCATATCAAATTCTTTGGCTTCCTTTTTTAAAACTTTTTTTTTTAGTTAGTTGTAGATAGATACACTACCTTTTAAAAATTTATTTGTATTTTTGAGTGTGGTGCTGAGGATCAAACCTAGTGCCTCACATGCAACCCTGGCCCTCTTTGGATTCCCTTTTATTTTGAAGTCCATTGACTTTATTAATCTAAAAACCTTTATAAGGACAGTGACTGCTATGCCAAAAAGGTGACAAAGGGCATCATACCAACCAGAAGTGAAGGTGGGGATGAGGGAAGGGGCCAGGAATCCAATCAGAAAGGCTGGTTAATGGTTTCCATGGAACTGGCAGGGAAAGAAAGGGAGTTGCATGCAAGAGCAAAAATTCCAAAAAGATTGAAATGGTGAGGGGAGAGAGCTCCCAAAGACAACAGCAATCTTTTCTTTTGTAAAGGACAAGGAGCCCTCACTCAGCTGCAAACTCTGGAGACTTGATAATGGGGCTGGGGATGGAGGGCCCCCCAGAGAACATCACAAGAAGGCACCCAAAGCAGTCCTGGGACTGCTTGCATTGGCGTTCCATGTGTCCTTCAGCCATTCCTGGAAGAGATCTTCATCTTTCTTTATCACCAGAAACTGACCAAGGACAACATATTCTTCCAGTTTCTTGCCCAGGCCTTCGCCAATCCAAGTCAGGCTCCTCACTGGCTTTCCCCCATAGGCTCTGCCACGAGGTGTCCATGCTTTTGGGAGGTTGTCATCTTGATCAAGCTTAATAGGCAGCTCCGGTTCCCTGAACAGCTGCTCTCCTTACTCAGCCCTTGGCTTCCCTTTTTTAACTACACTCCTCAAACCCGATAGTTCCCCTGAATATCAGTTTCAGTAAATTATACTATCATCAACCTTATCCCATATTATATCCTAGGTTATTTTTCCTCACTCCCCTTTAATTCTTATTTATTATTTATTAAAATATTTTGAATTCTACCTTTCAGTAGATCTTCAGTCTGTCCGATCATTGATTTGATTCACCCATCATCATTCCTTGACAAAATTTTCTCAATGACTTCCAAACACCCTACATATATGCCATTTCGCAAATATGTCATGCTTTTGTACCTTTAAGATTCTTTATATATAAAGATAAATAATTCCAGAATTATCTTCCTCTTCACTTGCTTCAAATTAATTTCTATTTGTCTTTCAAGACTCAAATCATTCAAGATCCTCATTGTGACATCCCTCCAGTCTGAACTGCCAATCTCTCTTTTTTGCTTCCAACGAAGCATGTGTGTACTTGTCTTACAACATCTAAAATTATAATGTATTAGGATTGTTATTTAATTATTTGACTCTCCAGCCAGATTGCAAATTACTTAAATGTAGAGACTAGCTTATTTATATACACACCCAATTATTTGCATGCATATATAAGTAAACATGTAAGTGTGATAGTAATATAGAATGTATACAATAAAATAAAAATTGTGATGTGACTCAGGGACAAAATGCTTCCTAAATTGGAATCCCTCAAAAAGAATCACAATAGAAAGACAGTAAAATTTTTCATTTGTATTTTTGGGGGGCTAAACATAGAAACAATAATAAAGTCTGTCTCATATGTTCTTCGCTAGATGTTAAAAAGAGCTGTGACAATTGAGTAAGTTCAAATAGGTGAGTATGTCTTTCTAAAATGAGTAACTATAAATGACCTTTTTGGCCTACAGATAAAGCCCTCTAAGGTACCAATTTTTCCCCTGGTTTTCTACTAATAACAATAAAAAAATAAGTCCGGAATGAAGCCATCAAAAAAGTCCCCCTCCTTTCTCTGTTTTATAGAGCCAGCTTATGAACTACACCTGCTCTACATGGGCTGCCCTATCCAGCAAGATCACTCAGTGCTGTGAACTTCCAGCGCCATTCCGAGGGGAATGCATTATCAACACAGGAAATGGGGACAAACCTGACCTTTCATCCCTGCCACTCAGCAGGTTTACAGAAGACCAATTTGTATGCCAACGATTCACTGACAACCAAGATGACTTTCTACAAGAGTAATATAGCTTTTTGTAAAATCTAAAGGATGGAATATGTATATATGGATTCTGTAGATGAGGTTGCAAATTTGAATCATGATGGGGCCCAGTCGGTGATGGAACTGAGTAGCCGAGTGGGAGCTTTGGGCAAAAAGGAAATGCTTTGTGGATTCCAAAGTTGGCAGTGGCTATTTAGGTCCAGTCAGACAGTTATGTGGGAATGTGGGTTTGGGATGTTGAGTCTACTGCATTGAAAGAAGCTAAAAATCTCTTGATTTTTTGAAGGTTGACTACTAATATAGGAATTTCAAAAACAAAAACACCCAGTGTTTGCAAGCTTTACTCTTAGGGACTAGAGATGAGCACAAGCTTCAGATTATTTTATGTACATGGCCAACTCTTCTAGTTAATATCCACTATCAAATCCATGGTGTAGTTTTTAAAGATTAGAGAATAGGGGTATTAACATTTTCGGTGTCCATTCAGAAGTACATGCTAATTTGTGCAAAAGGCAAACTGATTTCAATACATAGTATCAAGATGATATTGCTATGTAGTTGAAATATTTTCAAAGTCACTTTGGGAAGCAATGGAGAATTGGAGTTTTCCTCAAAGTCCATTGTAAAATGACCTTAACTGTATGTCCAAAATTGTATTTTATACTGGCTAATAAAATTAGATGCCACTATCTGAACGTACCCATTAAAAAATTACAAAGTCAACAGGCATAGGTCCTAGTGTAAAAAAGAACAAGGTTTATGAGTTAAGAGACTTGAGTTCTAATCCCAGTTTTGACATGCATACGCTGTGGATGGTAGGTAAAAATCACTGGATTTCCCCAGGGTTTGAGGTGGTTAGACAAGATAACTTCAAAGGCACCTTCATAATATTATAATTCCTTTAAAAACATTCTAGAATCCAATTTTGTTTTTGTGAATGAGATGAATGTGTAGATTATGAATAAACTGTTCACACTTAAAGGCTTCTTTGGAAAATAAGTGAACCCAGTGATTCAACACCTAGAGAGTATTCTATTCCCCCCCCCCCCCCAAAAAAAAAGCCTCAAAGATTACAGGGAAAAATGATTGTTATTCTACCCAAACACTTGAAATTAATTTCCAGTGAAAGTAAGTAGAGACTCAGAACCAGAAACTACCAGTGAACAAGTATGTTTTAGGTTCAAGTTCTGATTCTGCCATTCATTACTGCGTGACTTTGGAAAAGTCATATTATTTATTGATTTGGTTTTCTGATTTCAAAATAAAACTTCTCTGCCACTTTCCCAAGGTTTCTACATGCCTTAGAGTTAGTTAGACTTCATGACTGTAATTATTGTTTGTTTTAAGTAAATTCATGGCCTCTGAATTTTATTGTTTAACTTCCAATATATTTTACACAATACAGGTTTCTCTATGAATATTCAAGAAGACATCCAGAGTTGGCAGTTCCAGTCATTTTAAGAGTAGAAGCAAAATATAAAAATTTACTGGAAAAATGTTGTAAATTAGAAAAACCTTTGGAATGCTATAGTCACGTGGTAAATTTCTTCTTTTTCTTTTCTTTTTTTTTTAAATGTGTTTCTCATCAGTGATTACAAATAGGAAAAATTCCAGTGCTGTTAGTAGTGCCATATTTTTGTAAGATGATTATAAATGTTCTAGCTAATTGCAAGCACTAACATCTTACCTTAGTGACTCTGGGTGAGTCATTGCCTTACAGACTGTTTCCAGAAACCTCAGCAATCTTAAGTGTCTATAGATGTATGCTCAGCACAGTAGCAGGTAGCTTGAGAGTGCATCCCATTTGAGTATGAGTAGTTTACCTCTTATGGAGCCCTAGAAGATATTCCCTTTCCAAGCCAGAAACCTTACTGTTCACAGGTAGAAGCTCTTGTGCATTTAATATGGAAAAGCTGGCAGCCTAAAAATCTTCTCATCAGCCTATCAGTTATCTTTGAGTTAAGATAGGGTAGTTCTGGCTTTTTTTTCCTGCTCAATGCCTTACACATTAATAGATGTCTAGAGTTGTGTGTACAAAGGTTCGTTTTGTCCTGCCTGGCCTCAAGCAATCACACCTGAGACTTCACTGTTCTCAGAAGGTTAGGGAAGATGATTTAGTCTCCTGTATGGAAACACCCATCTCATTGCATCACTGTTAGTTTTTCACAATAATTACTATGACTATAGCAACTTGAAGGAGCATGGATGTTTAGAATTTACAAACAGCTTTACAACGAGTGTCCTATTTGATCTTCACTATAGCCTGGCATGATAAGTAATGCCTGAATTACCAAGCACACTTTATAGAGAAGACCTGAAAACAAAATTAGAAGAGGAAAAGTTTATTGGGGGGTCCATGGCTTCAAAGATCTAAACCCATAGATGGTTGACATGGTTGCTCTGGACCCGAGGTGAGGCAGAACATCATGTCAGAAGGATGTGGTGGAAGAAAACTGTTGAGGACATGGTTCCACAAGAAAGCAGAGAAAGAGAGCTTCCCTCACCATGGACAAAATGTAAACTTCAAGGGCACAACCCCCAGTGAACCACCTCCTCTAATCACTCCCTACCTGCTTACAGTTACCACTCAGTTAATATCTATTAGGGGATTAATGTATTGATTAGGTTAAAGCTCTCATAATCCAATTGTTTCACATCTAAACTTTCTTGCATTGTCTCACACATGAGCTTTGGGGGGGCAATTAATACCTAAACCATAACAAGAGTACTGATTTCAGAAGATTCAAGTGATTTGCTTGGTATCACACAGGTAGTAGAGACAGTGCTAAGAATAAAATCTAGGTCAACTCCTTGCACAATTGGGTGGAAATTTTACTGAACAAGAACTGCTTTTTAGGATAAGGTGGATTAGATCTGACTAGTAAGGTGATCATTTTTTCTACCAAAGAGTTCAGCCTGCAGGATCATTAGTATCTTCTCATTAGAATATTATTTTCATGGTTCAAGAATTCTTTGAATTTGCCATTACCTCTGAAAATTACATCTAGTTCAATTGATGTGTATTTATGTAATGTTCACAGCCTGAACATGACTTTTTTATTAAACCATGACTTCTTAACACATATGTATATTTCTGTACGTATATATCTATATCTGTGCTGCTTATATAAAAAGGCTATATTATTAAAATAACCAACAGACACACATGCACAGACCAAACATAAATCTATCAACTTCTCTGCATTCCTCTCTTTGGCTTGATGAATAATTGCCTTGTGTTTGTAGAACACAGCAGTTAAGCCCACAAATGAGTTTATATCATGGGAATCCAGATATCAATCTTGCTGTCCCACTTTTTTGCCACAAAATATATGGTGATTTTTCTTTCAGTAAAATGTGAGCTTTAAGATTTGTGGACTCACTAATGAAGATCTGGGTTTAGGGAAACATTTATATTATACTATTAAAAATGTGTTTGCAATCTCAGCTGCAGATAAATGTTTGCAACCATATATAAACACTAATCATCTCTATTTTCCAGGAAGTGCTGTTCCAAAGAGTGGTACGAGAAAGCCGTGATCATGTGAAAAATTACTGTGATTTACATGAAAAATTGGGAGATAGTAACTTCCATGACAGGTATGCCTCTAAGATATTCAGATTTGTGTTTGTTAGTGACTGGTGGTCTAGGGCTCTCCTCTGTTCATTCTTGACACTGAGAATTGCTTCAATCTCCCAGGTTGAAGAAAAATAGAAGGAAATGCATTAGGAGAGAAGGGGGTTATGGGGAGGAAGAAGGGGAGGGCAAGGGCATGTACTGAAGAGTGAAATTGATCAAAGTATGTCATATGCATGTTTAAATGTCCCACAATGAAACCCACTGCTGCAGTCTGGCTGGGCACAATTCAGGAGCCACCTGTCAAAAGAAACTAACTTTATTTTTAGAACCACACATGCCAAATAAAACAGCTCCTCAGGAAAAACCCTCAGAGCCCAACTGCCACCACCGGCTTCCCACAAGCCTCTCCACCTCCCCCACTCCTCCTGCTCTTGAGGCCGATTGGCTGGGTCGTGTGGGCGGACCCCAAAAAAGTCCCCCAATGAGCAGCTCCTAGTCTGAAAGGGCGGGGAAACAGCCCAATGAGCATCACCGCAGAGGAGCCAATCAGCTAGAAGTTGCTGGGGCCGCTGTGAGCCAATCATCAGCTGGCAGTCTGAAAGTTTGCTGGGGCCCCTTCGGCTGTACTGAAGAGTGAAATTGATTAAAGTATGTCATATGCATGTTTAAATGTCCCACAATGAAACCCACAATTACATATGATTAGTTTGCATGAATAAAAATTACATAGGAAAAAAAAAACCCTTCAGAATTAACTTGCCCGTTGCTTTGTTAAGATAGATGTCTATGGAACTTTGGGTATTTCCACATTGGCTTTCCAGGCCAGCTCCTCAGATGCCAGTCAATGTCCAGAGGTTAGGGAACAAAGGAGGCCCTACTGTCCCCTTGAAATCTCACAGAGGTCTCTTCCTTACATTTGAATGTTTAGTTTGAGTCAAGTGATTTTTGAGTCAAGGCTGCAACAGAAATCTAATCCAGGGTCCCTTTGTAACAGTTTTAAGTCAGGTTCATCAAGCAAATTTAGTATTTTCATCACTACCAAGAGATAAACATTATCAGTTATTTGCCAAAGAGAATATGTGTACAGAAAGCCTGGGAAATCCCACTGTATTTTAAAGATTAAGTTGTCACAAAACAAAAGCCAATTTTTAGGAATCTTTGAGACCTTACTGTAATAGTCTATTAAGAAGTAGAGTATTGAAGAAAACTTCAGTTTGATATAGTGTCTCATAATACTGAGCTTAAATTAAATGTCCAGAATAATGGATCACAAAAAATAGTTTTCTGACTCATCTAGAAAGAATTTCTTGGCTTATTACTTTTCTTTTTATGTTGTGTTCAGTTGCTAATGAAGGATTAGATTGTGATTCTCAAGTTTTGGAATAAATCAAAATGCAGAGAGATGTGTTAAAATATAGACCCCACATCCAGAGTTTCTGATTCTGTAAGTCTGGAGGGGGCCTGAGTATTTGCATTGCTATCAGATGCCTAGGGATGCTGATACTGTGGTCTAGGGCTCCCCTCTGATCACCACATGATTAGATTGTTGGTTTCATTGGATGTTATATAAACCACACTCTTCTCCAGCTCCATTCATTACAAATGCAGTAACTGATTATAATTCTTTGTTGTCTTCAACACCTAGTTCTTTAGAGTCTCTTTAAAATCTCTCTCCATCTCTTTTGATTCCATCCAACACTCTCTTAATTCAGGCCCTGGTTTTCTTTCACCTGGAATGTCAGAATTTGGAATTCTTTATTCCCTCAGTTTACCTCTTGCCCATCCCCAATCCATTCTTTATGTCTTAAAAACAATGTAAATATGATTTTATAACCAAGTTTTTTTTCTCTCCCACATCTCTCTGTCTTGTACTTTGTCCCCAAACCCCCAATCAAATAAAATCAAACCAAACCATAGTCAGTGACTTCATGATTTCTATTCTTCTTCACCCGACTCCCTCAGAGTCCTTGTCAGATCTCAGCTCAGAAGTCATTTCCTTAGGGCCACCTGCCTAAGTTCCCTGAGATGGGATTAGATGCCATATTTTGTGCACTGTTGGGAAATATAATTAAAAACAACATCTCCCAACCCAGAAAACCTCTCTTCAATGGTAGTGGAAAAATGAACTAGTGGGTTTTTAAAATTGAATAAATATAAAATCAAAATGTGATGGGCATCACAGGCCATCCATGGAGAGATTGCAAAGACAGAAGGAAATCTCACTCCACGAATACAGCCAGGCAGACACAACCCATTGCATACATGTTTTCATAAAAATAATAACTAGTCTCCAAGTGAGAGGACTTGACAGTACCATTTGTCACACATGGTTCATCCTAACTTTATCTGTTAATTGGGATGACCATTTGTGTTAACTATGTGACTTCATCCAGAGATAAAACAAAACCAAAAATGACAACAAAACAACAGCAACAAAAATAAACTTTTTAACTTCTTATATCTTTAAAAGAGGGAGTACTTTTGCAACTTGGAGCAAATCTCCTACCTTCTCACAAAAACTGGGAGATAGGGGTGCTATCTTTCATGTTTGCATTTCAAAAGGGTGGTTCCTGGGTCCTTGAGAAAGATGTTTCTGGGTCATAAAGCTGGAAAAGGCTGTTTCTAGTTTGAAAAAAAAATTGTATGAGTTTCAAAGAGAGGTGAAAATACAAAATAAAGTGTTCTAAAATAAATACACTAAGAAAAAGGAAGGAGGATAATTCTTCCTTTGTTTTCAATAGGATTGGATCTTCTTATTTTTAATTTCTTGTTCATCTTGACAGAACCTACAGTAGTACTATGTACTTTCCACAGATTGAATATACTTGTCCATCTCCCTCACTAGGATGTGAGTCCCTAGAGCACAGGGGCTGCTTGCTATGGTTACTGTACCCTCTATTCCTACACATGGCAGATGATCACTAAAGGCTTTATAGTTTCTGCATATATTTGTTTCAGAAGCTGTTTACTCTAGGTCTGATTTCACAGCCATCTAAGTTAGCTGTCACAGTGTCCCTGATAAGGAGAAAAAAAGGTGGTTTTTGAGTGGAGCAGTGCATGAGGCAGGAACAGACCTCCAGATATATTCAATATGGTGCTGGTCCAATGGAAGGACAAAAGGGATACAATTAAACTCAATTTAATATCTTGTTCCTTCTCAATCAGAGATAATGTCAGCTATTGGGGAAAACTGTAGAATTGATGTTTGGGTGTGTAACCATTGCTAGTAAGAGCAAATTGATTTTTTAGGCTCATGGTCCTTTACACCAAGAAAGCTCCACAACTATCTGCTCAAGAATTGGTTATGTTCACAAAGAAGATGGCAGCTGCAGCCTCCAGATGCTGCCCACAAAGTGATGAGCAACAGTTTTTCTGTATTGAGGACTCAGTAAGTATATCGGTGGCATTATGTCTGCTTGTTCCTGAGAGTTCTAATTTGTAATCCCCAACAATCCATCTCACTTTTGTGGACATCCACAAACTGTCAATGGAGCCTCATAATTTTGTTCTCAGGGGACATTCTTGAAGGTAAGCTAATGCTAATTGTCTTCAGCTATCAACAGGGTAACCTCCCTAACTTCAGGCATGTTAGATTCACAAAGTTTTTCCCTGGATCATATCTCAAGGTCTATTGCTTGGATATTTAAGCACTAAAGTGATTTTGTCAGAAATTTCAAAAATAGTTTCTTAGACTAACTCATTCTAATCATACAAGTATTAAATTTATGGGAATCCATATATATTCAATTACAATGAACAGTGTCTTTTTAACAGTAGAAATAATTGGTATAACCAGGCTACCCTTTTTCCTGAATGAAAAGGCTGAATTAGGATATGAGTAATCATATCCTAGAATCAGAGGGAAAACAGATGGTCTTGAGAGATATTTCCTTCAGGCTATAGGAATCATGACAAACTATTTCTTCCTCACAATGGATAAAATTCCTCCAGGGACCAGATACTCAAGTCTCTGAGATTTAGCATCTGGGTCTCTAGCAGTATTTTCTTAACACTCCTGAATTCTTGTTTGGTAATAACTTTCTCTGCTCTGTGTCCATGGTGGATCCCATTCTCTACAAGTGGTCTTTATTTTGATGAAGTATACTTGCCACAATTGTAGATTGAAAAATTATTACTTAGCCCTGCCTTCCTTTATAAAAAAACTTTTTTTTTAAATTGAGTCATGTCTACCTTGGGGAACTCTTCTGATTAGACTTGTTTATTCCTAAAATCTAGTTTTGGAGCAATATCTTGGTTTACTTCTAAAATGGGTAAACTCATACATTAAATTTATTGATTTTAATTATTTCATCCTCACATATGTACAGGACAGAGAATTTGGGTAGTCAGCATACTCTGTGGGGCCTACGGGCATCCGGGTAAGTATGGGTGTCTGAGAACCACGTTGGGAGTAAGGCAAGGTGACAGGTCTAAAACTGTCAAGAAAATGGCGACAATCAACATAGGATTCCAGGAGTTCTTTCATTATTCAGTCAGCAAATATTCATAGAGCATCTACTGTGTGCCAAGTTCTGTGGTTGGTTACATATGTCCAATTATTAAAAAATAGGAAGAAATTGGATTTGAGCTTCTTAAGAACTGCAGTTACCAATCTTACATCTGAGTCAAGTTAGCAATAGTGTTGACTTGAGGCTTGATTCAAATTTGGTGGAGCATAAGAAATTCCTGCTTTAATTAACACTGGTCTGTCCACTCGACTGGGAAGGAACCTGAAAATGGGGTCCAGCGGAACTCAATTTGAAGGAGGAGGAAGAATAAGGCTAGGAATAAGGCTGCACCTGGCACTCTTCTGTTTTCCCACACAGTGAAATCCAGGTGGAATTAGCAGAAACTAGAATTTGAAAATACTTAAATGTAATCTTATGTTCTATGGGCAAAAAAAAAAAAAAAAAAAAAAGCAATAACCATAAACTTTATCACTCTTATTTTAATTCTCCTTCGGGAAAGGCAAAGCTAATTCTTGGAGCTCTGTGCAGAAGACATGAGGTTGAGCCTATCAATGCTGGTGTGGGTCACTGCTGTGACAACTCATATGCCTTCAGGAAGCCATGTTTTGATGATCTGCAAGTAGACAGAACTTACGTTTCTCCATTTTTACCTTGTGACCAAGTCATCATCCTTAAAGGGGACTTGTGCAAAGCTCAGAAGGAACTCCAAATTGAAAAGCAAAAGTAAGGATGCTTGCTTACTTTTTTTTCCTTTTTTGCTAGCAACAAGAGAGCTGATACAAAAAAATTTAAACTGAGTACAGATTTAACTATTGCAAAATGAACAGAGCAGCAAAATGTTGTATTAGAAGTCAAGTGAAATTAAGAATATTCAGCAATTTAACAATTATGCCTACCATGCCTGTTACCCTTACTTGATTAGTTAATGAGATAGAAGCAAACTGATCAGAAATATCAACAGAGATGTAATTAATGTGTTTTTCCTAAAATGTGAACTTTGTCACATTCGTCTTATAAGGTGTTGCATGCAAAGAGGGTTCTGTTGTCAGGTTCAGGTAAGTTTGGAAATAATTTATTTCCTTTCTCCTTTTGGAAAGTAATCTTCTCCATCAAAAATGGAAGCCAGAGAAGTCCTGTAATAAAGTAAACTCCTTGGCTTATTCTTATTAAGAATCTTTTGGGTTGGGGATGTGACTCAGTGGTAGAACACTTGCCTAGCACATGTGAGACTCTGGGTTCAATTCCTTGCACTGCCTCCTGCCAAAACGAGAAAAGAAAAAAAAAAAGAAAGAAAAGAAAAGAAAAAGAAAAAGAATCATTTGGGCCATAGGACCTTCAATTTTGAGGACCTATATTATGGGAAAGTACTTGAACTGTTCCATTGGAATGATGGATATTGCCTCAATAGTATGTCTTTATTTATTACCACTTTCAGTGCTATTGTTAGGATTGCCTGAATCTGTTTTGAAGAACAGTTTTGGGGCGATTTATTGAGGTTGCCAGCTGGGAGACAATGTAACGTCTATGAATACAACTCCCTGAATCCTTGATTTCCCTCTTTTTCCTTGTTTAATGGAGTGCCTTGTATCAGATAATGCTCTGTAGTGACTTATTATAAGAATACAAAATATTACTAGGCATTCTCAGTACAGGAAACAAACATTTAAATGCCAAAAATCTTTTCTATAAAGATATAAAGTCAGTTAAATTATTATGAAAATGGGAGGAATTTTAGATATTACTTTCCCAGCCCCAAGTTTAGGAAATCCTTCTAAAACACTGTTTAGTTCATCTATAAATATATCCAGTGATGGGAAAGCAGCCTATTTCATCTTTAGATATGTTAAGTTATTGGAAACTTCATCTTTTTTTGTTGCTGTTGTTAAATAGAAATGTTTCCTTGTCACTTCCTACAAAATTTGTGCCTTTGAAGCTACACTACATGTAGCCAGTGTAAGGACACTATACCCCCATGCAGTATTGTAAGGACAGATCTTTATTGTTTGACAATCAACTAGGGATGAGGCAGGATTTATACTCAGGTGGATTTCTAAGGGGAACCTGAGAGGAATGATATACTATGGGAAATACATATGCATGTGTAGGTGTAAGTATCATGTGAAAACATTTACACATTAGAAAAGTTTACAAGTAAGTGATTTTGCAAAGTGCTATTGCTGTTACCAATATTAAAAAGCCTACTGATTGGAAATGCTACCAGCAGAATGCACTCTCTCTATGTTTGAGCAGGATTTCCCAGTTGGTGCTCTATATTTAAGAAGGCTTCTGGATTAAGTCAGCAAAAGTACTGAATCCCAAACTCTTACTTACTCCCACTTTTATAGCATCTATTAAAATAGTTGTTTCACTGGGCTGTTCTTATTTCCCCTCCACTACTACACTCCATTATCAAGTTTGCCCCCCATCCCCTACTCACAGATGTATCATTTAGTTTTGCAGCATAACAAATCATATGAAAATGTAATGACTTAAAAATGCTCACAAATCTATAGGTTGATTGGACAAGTTTGCTGACTTGGGCTAGCCTGGGCCATTTTCATCAAGGTTTGCTCCTGTGTTCGCAGTTAGCCAGGGGCTGGCTGACTCTGTATGGCTTCAACTAAGATGGTTGTCTCTGCTGCATGGGGTCCCCTGCCATCTGACAGGCCAATGCAGCTTCTTTATAAGGTAGATGGGAGAAATGGCAAGTGTGGAGACTCCATGAGGCCCAGATTTGGAATTGAGCAATGTCAGTTCTGCTGGGAGGTAGGTCACAAGGCCAGTTCAGATGAGGGAGTGTGGAAATAGATTTTATTTCTTGATAAGAAGAATTGAAAAGTCACATTGTAAAGGATATGGACGAAAAGCTAGACAATTGGGTACCATTTTGCAATCAATCTGTCACATGTGCATAATTGATGTAGTTGCTAAAATTACAAAAAATAATAAATGGTAAGATAATAGTAAAAAACATGACAATTAACTGGGTCTGAAGTCATAGAAAATGAGGGGGCATGACCAGGCTTTCTCTATGTGAAAGAAATAGGGATAGGGGGTGAACAAAAAGTTCAATGACATATACTTCCTAGAAGCTGTGGCTTTCAAAAGAGGATAAAGGAGAGATCTGTTGGAAGCAGTAAAAAGGGATCCAAGTGCTAAAGTCAGTAGTATTCATGGAAAAATAGTCTCCTCTTTTTTTCCCTTTTTATTTTACTTATTATTGCTATTGTTATTTTTATAAACAATAGATTTGCTGCAACATGCTCTGGCTCATTTTCTTGAATTTAAAGAATTAACGCATTTCAAAAATATAAAAAATACATCATAATGAGTCTTAGAACTATAGTAAGATAATGATTGCACAAAACTCTAAGATATGAGCCCACCATCTGCCTGACGTCCAGTGGCAACCATGAGAGAAACCCTATGGCATCTGGGAGAGATGCATGAGGTTTAGAATACAAGGAGTTTATGCAGATTAATCACCAAGTGAGGGAATCAGAGCAGGTTTGACTGTAGCCACTTTTCTCCATCTAGAAGTGCTTACATAACCACGGGACAAAGTCACTACATGGAGAGAAAGAATAAGTTGTGTCCATGATTGAAGAGTCTGGAAAGCTCCACCCTGAAAAATATCCTCCTTTTAAGAAAATTTGGAGTAAGCTCTACCATCAGGGAGCCAATGTCTTGTATAGAGGGAGAAAGAGAAGTTCAGAAAAAAGGTGGATATGGGGGAGTTTTCTAAGAGAAAGCCCCAAGTCCTAAGAAGACAGAGGAAGACTTAGGGAGAGCAGGAAGGCAGGAGATGGGTCAGATTAGGGATGTGGAAAGCATCAGTGTGAAGGTGGATCATCTGGGAGATGAGATTTCTGAGCATTACTAGGGCATGCCATGATGGGTATAGCCTTGCCAGTTATCCCTGCAATTCATACAACCTCAGGGGGTGCATGTTACTCTTGCTACTGAGAGTAGAGGTGATTAAGATCTCACAGGCAGTGGGAAGGCACTTCCCCTGTTTCGATCTCACATAGATAGATGGAATGGAACACTAACTATCAGTTCCTAGAGACATTTTATTTATTTATTTATTTTGCTGCTGCTGACATAGAAGCATCTTTCTTAGTCATGTATGTCTCTAACCCCACCTCATTCTGAGCCCAGAGTCAAGAAATTTCCATGGGCCATATATTCTCCTTGGAGTGACTCCGTAGGTGATAGAGCCCAGGTTAGAGGCCCCTGTTGGGATCTACCAGAAGTGACTGTGAGAGGAAACACCAAAGGTTCCCATTTCCCTGAACCAGTAGGATGCACCCAAAGCACCCCCCCTCCAATGTGGGGTAGTTCTGTTACAGTGCCACCCACCCTTTCTGCCCTCCTTCAGGAGAAAGCAGGCTCTGGTCCTTATTGCTCTTTTTCTCCCAAGATCATCAGAAGTAGCAGCTTATTTCTGATTTATTTACTTTAAGACTCATTCTGTCAAAGCAGTCTAAATATTATTAGTACAAAAATATCACCTTGCTGAGTGAGACAGGTGTTCATTACCTTGGGAGTGAACACATTCTCCTGGTCAGCAAGTACAAGGTTGTTACTTTTTCTGTTTTTTTGCAGTACTTGCTATTCATAGACCGGCTGACCCTGAAGTCCTTTCATTTCCCAAGGTGAACTGGTCACAAACTAAATCTTAGAGCTTTTCACTAAGTACCCAAAGACCTTTGTAAAATGTAGTTCATCATTCTTTATCCCAGGATTGAGGAGAGAGTCCATTTCATTTCCAGAGAGGAGGTTTTGTTTGCTTCCTCTAGTGACCATTCCTTGAACACAAATAGGCACATGTCATGATGTCATCTCATTAAATCCTTACCATAAATCTATGACGTAGATAATATTTTATTTGTTTTAATTATAAAGAAACTGGGACTGAGAAGGCAAAAATTCCTGCTATGACATTATGCAGGAGGTCCACAGGTAATTGAGCTGGGATGGGAACTCAAGCTATCTGGCTCAAAACATTTAGGCCTAACTCCCAGCATCAAGCTGTTAGTGTGCCCCAAATCCAGGGCTTATAATACCAAGCACTAGAATTTTTAAAACCTGGAGTTATTCACATAAAGGCTAGACAATAGTGCAAAATATTAGGAAGCATTTTTGTTCCAGTAAATGCACTGAATTCTCTTTATGGAGAAAACAGGAGCATAGAGACAGTTAATGAAGGGGTTTATGGAATTTTCTGGGAGGATTCATCCTGGGAGTCAAATGTCAGGCTGAAAAAAATTCTCTAAGTTTCCCTGATAGTGGCAAGGGCTTTCTCACTGCTCTCAGCCTGTATAACTCTGGCTTACCATCACAGCACAGATCCACAAAATAGTAAAAACAAGTGAAGGGACTCCTAGAGCAGAAAGAAAAAATTCAGCAAGATGGTAAAGAGAAAGCAGAAGTTGAGATCATGGAAAAGTTTGAAGAGTATGATAGAGAAAACAAAAAGGAAGTATAAATTCAAAGTAAAATAATTTAAAATGCAATTAAGAAAAAAAATTGAGCTGAAATGTTGAGTGTAGATGGTAACTAAAAGTAGACTAAGGTTTAAATGAAATGATGGATAGTTTAATGAAAATTAAATACCATAGAAATGAAAAGCTGAAAACAAGTTGCTAATATTATGGGTCAAGAATATATGTCAAGATTTTAAAAAGTAAATAATAAAGAGCTAAAGTGTTGGAAAGATTAGGGCAAATAATTTTACATAAAGGCACTCAGGCGGTATGTAAAGAAACAGGGCGGGAGGGCATAGGAGAGGTAAAACAACTGTACGTGAGTCACACCGTGTGCAACACAGTTGTTGGGGTGAGGGTCCAGCTATTGAGAAGCACAGAGTTGCCGGGTCCTGAATCCTATTCCCAGACACTGCCTGGACCACTTTTTTTTTTTTTAATTTTTATTGTTGGTTGTTCAAAACATTACATAGTTCTTGACATATCATATTTCACACTTTGATTCAAGTGGGTTATGAACTCTCATTTTTACCCTGTATACAGATTGCAGAATCACATCGGTTACACATCCACTGATTTACATATTGCCATACTAGTGTCTGTTGTATTCTGCTGCCTTTCCTATCCTCCACTATCCCCCCTTCTAAAGCGGTGGCAGGCCAAGGAGGAACTCAGCCGCTGTGCTCGTCTTCCCTCTGCTGGCCGCTCTGTGGAAGTGCATCCAGAAACTAGCTGACCCGCAGGGAAAGCAAGCAGAGCAGCTAGCTAGGTGTGACTCAGGGGCAGGCTGAGAGACAAGACTGGAGGGGTCGAGGGTGGGGGGCAAATCACGAGGGCATTTGGGATCCTTCAGCTTGTGAGAAAAGAGAAGGCGACTGTATGACACAGATACTTGCTACCTTTCCTGTTAGGGTTCCCTGTTCTGGTTGAATCAACAACTCAAGTCCTGAGGGCACTGTAAAAAAAAACTCACCCAGAACTTGCTGAAAAAATAAATGAATACATAGGAGAGAAGCTGTGACAATGTACCATCTTACTGTGAGGGTAAGGGAGGAAAGAGACCATGGTTGGAACAAGTGATAATTTAACATGAATGCAAGTTGTGTTATGTTATTATTGTCATTTTTATTCATTGCTATTATTTTCTTTGCACTATTTATTGAATACATTCAGTGTGCCAGGTACCATGCTCAAACCTTTAATATATTATTTTTGATTCTCACAAAAACCTTGCAGTATCCATGCTCAGATTTTCTTTTTATAGAATAGGGTCAGAAAGGTTAAGTGTCTTATCCACCATCTCACCAAACAATGAGTGGAAGACCAAACCAGAACTTGTGACCTTTCATGATCTTAGAAGAAAAGAGAAATCCAGGTTTTACATGAACGAGCAGAAAATGATGTCCCTATCTTATATCAACTTTGGGTCCTTATAGTACTCAATCCCCTTTACCAGACCACAGAAATCTAAATCAGGTGTTTAGAAATACGATCATTCCACTGTGTAAGCCAGCAAGGTCTACAATTTTATTTTAGGTACCTAGGATCCCTGGTTTCTGTAATCTGGGACTTAAGCTACACTATTTTTTTTAATGGGTTGGACAGTGCACTTTAATACCTCAAGCATTACTGTTTCTGTAAGAAAACATATTACACACAAAAATCCACCAAATTCCAGTGGAAAGTAGTTTGTATTGTCATGTTAAATAATCAACTAAACACTGGTAATTGTCATTCAAGGATAGAATAACTTACTTGACTATATATCCTAACTACGCAGACTTGAATTTTATAGAGACACAAACAAGCACTGTGGTTTTTTTCAAGGGAAGGGGGTCAAATTTAGTTCTGCTTTAGAACAAAAATTGACTATGTATAGAACAGTTGGATAGAAAAATATTCTCCTAGTTCTTTAAAAACTTTTGATTTCTTTTATCATTAAAGTAATATACAATCACTTAGAAAACCCAGAAAAAGTAGAGAGAAGACAATAATAATAATTTAATTCCAACACAGCAGATACATATTATAAATATATGTATAGCATGGGAGCATAAGATGTCATATGTGCAAGCACACACTCCCAAAATTGCTTTCTATCCATCTTTCATTCTAGATGATTAATAATGCAGGTTTGTAGGCTCCTGCTACTATCTGTTTATGCTGAATTTCAGTCACAGAAATTATCCCCAGAATCTTCGGGGAGATGGAATTCTCCAGGCATGCTATCTACCTTGATGCCATGGGGAAAGTCATCCTCTCCAGTACTGCTGACTCCTGCTCAGCTGCAGTCTGGATCCCTGGACTAGCAAAGAGGCATATGTTTTGTTGTAAGGGTAAGAGTCGACCTCTCCCTGCCTGCTTTCCCTTTCAGAGGAAACTTGCCAGTGCTGCTTGTGTGTTAATGATTTGCAGGACTTGAATGAAAGTGCTTTCTTGGTATTTTTTTGAAGTCTGACTCAGAAATGAGTGTCTGCAGACCTGGCTGAGGAACCACAACTTTACAGACTTCACTCACCAAGGCTGTCTTACTGGGTGGAAGTCGGAGCCTGGCTTCTTATCTCAGGAAGAGTTCTCCAATGAGCATTGGTAGTTCCCCCATGCTGGTGGCTTCTGGGTGAGGCTCACCCCACCAGTCTGTTATGGAGTCTGAAACCACTGCTACAAAAGCAAAGTGGAGATGACATAGGACCTTTTTTTGTAGGAGACAACTGAAAGTACAACATGAACTAACATATATAAAGTGATCAGCACATTACCTGAAGCACAGTAAATGTAGTACATACTAATATACCAAAAGATGTTGGCTATGGCCACTATTTTAAATATAGCTTGTCAAAATGTTATCATGTATGCATTTTGTCACTATTCTTTAAAGTAGCATTTTAATAAATCTATAATATTCCACAGTATGAATTTAACCATTTCCTATTGTTGAATATGAAGATTGTCTTCACCTTCTATATTGAATTGTTATAAAGAAAAACTTGAGCATAAATCTGTTCCCCATATCTGATTTCTCTAGATTTCTAGGACTTGGAATTAGAGGCAAACCTGGACTTAGTTAATGGCCTCACTTCTTTTTGCACTGTCTTGCTGAGTGCACCACTTATGTGCTTCTCAGACCGGCCTCACCTTGGGGTAACTTCTGGAAGAACAGGGGCTGTGCTTCCTGTTGTGCTGCTGTTTAGTTCTGTTTATACTCAGGTGTGGGTAGGGTGTGGGGGTGGTGGGAATGGGAGAGGGTGACGCTGCAATAAGAATATCAAAGTGGCCTGTCCCTGGTCTGCTACTTTAAGCTGGAAGTCTGCTTTTATCGTTTCCATGGAGGTCTGCGAGCTGTGTTTGTGGGAGCTGTGGGCACTGCTTCTGTAGACTAAATCCTGAACTGAAGTGTGGCTGATTGGCTTCATCTGTTTCCACTTTGCTTCCAGTGCCTGTTTGTCCTGTGGTGACCCTGCTTTCTGCTGCCCAGGGCCTGCTCTGGTACCACATATACTTTGTTGTTGATGGCTGCGGGGTCAGCCAAGGGTGGGTGGTGTCTCACTCCTGGAGTAAGTGCCTCAGTGATTGGCTTTGCTGCATAAGGGGAGACAGCTGAGAGAAGAAAAGGGTGTGCTGGGACCCTTGTCACTGGGGTGGAGTGAAACTGACCACCCCTTCCCCTGCTGCTAGACACTCTTCTCCATCATCTTCAGTCAATGACAGCTGTCACAAACTGTATTTGTCACCTGTATCTGCCATCCCAGGCAAACCAAAGTCTTCTGCCTTGTAATAGAAGTACCCATGTAATATCCTAAATCCTAAAATATTTACTACCTGAAAGAGTTTGGTGATCTCAGATTTAGACTGAAATAGAAAATTCATACCCCATTTGAATCAAATGTATGATATATGATATGTCAAGATCATTGTAATGTTTTGAGCAACCAATAAAAAAAAGAAATAGCTACTGAGAACTTCGAGATATTTTTCTTTCATTTATAGCGCAGATAAAGCCACTTAGTATTGTCAATGTGAATTTGAAAATGAAGACTTAAGTAAAGGTGTTGAGTAAGCTGTATAATATCGATCAATGTACATTCTTCCAATTGTTCGTGCCTCATTTTCCTTTTTTTAATGTTTTCTTGCTCTGAAACAGTGAAAGAGGGGGTAGGGGAGGGGGAAAGGTGGGAGGGAGGGAAAGAGATTTTCTGTAAGCATAAGCAACACTAGTATCAGAAGATTTGAATACCTATTAAATAGGGAGACAGAAACCGGATTACAAGGTTGAATGTTCAAGATATTAAAACACTGTTGTTTATAGTTGTGGGGGAAAATTCTGTGGGGAAAATCTGAGATGATGAATCATTGAAGTTTCAAATTAACTTGTTGGTTTTATCATTAATAACAAATAAGGCATCCTCAATTTCTATGTGTATTGTACTTGTAATTTGCTTGGAAATTTATTTATTTATTTGTTTGTTTATTTTTGCAGAACTGGAGATTGAGTCCAGGGCCTCACATGTGCTAGGCAAATGTCCTACTACTGAGTTGCATCCCCAGCTCTTGGAATTTAATTGTTTGGAATACACAAAAAATATAGGAAAAACTTTAATTCACTATATACTATCTGTATGCAATCAAACAGCAGAAAACAAAGATGTTTACCTACTAATAATTACAATAAAGAATTAAATTTAACATTATGGTTGTACTGAGGAGGCACGCTTGTAGAAAGTTTGCTCTGTAAACATAAAGATAGCAATGACCATTGTGAAGGCAGTGAGGCTGGCAGGGCCATTTTGGAGGTCTTCAGCCTGGAGAGTGGGAGCAAGGATAAGGCCTGGGTGGTGTGTAGCTCTGAGTAAGTAGGGCAGGTTTGTGATCTGGCCTGTGGACCTCAGAGAGTGCTTGTATTTTTGCACCTCCTTTCTGATTAGGCTCCTCATCAGCCTCGTGCAGCAGAAACCATCTGCAACAGAGGCGCAGTTCCAGTCGGTACTTGTGGACTTCACGCACCTGGTGGAGATGTGCTGCCATGCAGAGGAAAGTGACATGTGTTTTCAGAAAGAGGTAACTGTGTTTCCTTGTTTATTCTTAAACAGGAATGTTACTGTGAGGAAAAAACCTTTCCCTACTGCAATCATGAAAAGGTTAGAACATCAGGCAAGGTGGATTTGAGTCATTAACTATATTTCATCTTGGAATAGTTGAATATTTATGTGTATTTGAAGAAATTTGGCACAAATAGAGATGCATACAGCAATCATGACACCAGATAGACTGGGAATGTTTAGCACTGGGTATGAGAAGAAGGAGGAATTGGTGTAACTATAGAGAAATTATGTCCTTGAAAAATATAGAAGAATTTAAAAAAAATTTTTTACACAAAATTAACAGTTTAAAAACCTGTCTGGGAAACTTGGAGTTTTGTTTTAGAAACGTAGGGGCGCAATCAGGTCACTAACTATGTTTGGGAGAGAAACTAGGGAACCAGGTAAACAGATTTTATTTTCTCAGTGCTCAGAAGTTCATGAGAACAGGAGTTAAAGAACAAACAGGACAGAGCACTGAGAGGATCAAGAGACCTGTGTATACACACACCCCAAGCTAACTACCAGGACAATATTTTCTGTAATTAATCTAATTGCATGTAATTAACAAGTAAATTATTTTTCACAAGTTGGTGAATTATGCAACTTACATTGCAAAGAAAATCTTGGTGGGATGTGCCACAGCAAATTCATGCAAACTCACCAAAGGGGAATTAATGCAGGAGTACCTGGGTTGGACTGGCAGAGACATGAACTCAGGAGCAGAAATTAAAGTACAGCAGGTGATAGAATCTGAGTACAGGAAGGTGAGTATGTAGTTAACAAAAAGAGAGAAAGTATCTTGATGCTTTGGCAAGCCAGCTGGGACTGATTAGGAGTAAGGGTAAGTTTAGCAATGGCCCTGGATAATACTTTCAAAGGTAATAATTTTCACTACTGCCTTAATTACCTGCAGTGGCTTCTTTCTACTATTCAGCTAAACTTTGCATGTGTTTATATTGATATTCACGTAGCTACAGATGCTCCTCAACTTATGATGGGGCTACATCCTGACAGACCCTAAGTTGAAAATTTCACAAGTTGAAAATGTGTTTAATACACTCATCTTCAAACATCATATTGCAGCAACCCAGTACACTGTAGAGTGTGGTTGTTTACCCTTGTGATTCTGGGACTGACTGCCACTGTTCAGCATGTCTATATATAGTACAGCATATGACCAGCCTGGACAAAGATCAGAATTAAAGTTCAAAGTGCTTTCTACTGAACCTGTATGGCTTTCATACCATCATAAAGTCAAAATATCCTAAACCATCATAAGTAAGGGATCACGTATATAGACTAGTCAAGGGCAGGCAAATGACAGTCCTCAGGATAAATCACTCCTGCTTCCTGTTTATGTATCAGTAAGAGTTTATTGGCAGATAGACTGCTGTGGTTTGGATAAAATGTTCTTGTGCTGGAAGCTTAGCTCCTAGTGTGGTCATGTTGAAGTGGTGGACCTACTGTCAGGGCTTGGTCATTGAGGGTACTGCCCTCAGAAGGAATTAATGTAGTTCTCATGGGACTGTGGTTATTTCCCACAACAGCAGGTAATCATAGAAGAATAAGCCTGGCTCTTGAATCTCTCTGGCTTCCTGTCTTGCCATGTGGTCTCTCCATATATACTCCCACCATAATGTTATCTGTCAGGTTGCTCCCACCAAAGGCCAGATAGTGCTATGTGATCTTAATCCTTCAGCCTTCAAAACTGTGAGCCAAATAAACTTCTTCTCTTTCTACATTACCCATCCTCAATGGTTTTGTTACAGCAAGAGAATGCAGACGAAGGACAGATCCACCCATTAATTTATCGCGTGTCTATGGCTACTTTCTTGTTATAGTGGCAGAATAGTTAGGACAGAGAATATATGAACTACAAAGACCAAAATATTTACAATCTAGCTTTTCACAGAAAATATTTGCTGACCTCTGGAATAGTAAAAAATGAATATATTCACAAATACTAGAGTCTATTTGTTTATTTTAAATACATTTTAACTTTCACAAAGCATTCAGAAAATATTTCCCCACTTCATATCCCACTCATAAAAATACTTTCACTGAAGGGGCTCTGCCTGTTGATTTCTGAGGGACTGTTTTTGAAGTGATCGTCCTTTTGAGGTAGAATTCTACTTGTTCAAATTATTTCATCAATAGTGTTACAGGAAGATTCCTGTTTCCTTTCACTTAAAATTGTTTTCATAAAAGAAATTTTCAATTGAATGATTAAAAAGGACAAATATTGTTCATTTTCTTTCCCTTCCTTCATTACTTTAGGATCTCTCCCCAAATTCAGGGTGAAAACAGAAGTTATAGGAAGAGTATGTCAGGCTAACTAAAATTAAAAATCCAAACAAAAATGCTTATTTTACATAATTATGCCAATCTCTGAAGTTTGGTCAGGTTTACCTTTGTGCAATTATTCAAAGGCAAGATTCTCAAATTTTTGTGTGTAGTAGAATCACCTGGAAGGCTTGTTAAAATGAAATAAATGTGTTGCACTTGGAGTTTCTGATTCAGTAGGTCTTGGGTGTGGACTGATCATTTGCATTTCTGACAAGCTCCTGGTGCTGCTGCTGCTGATGTGGGCAGCACATTTTAGGAAGCGTTTGTCTAAGGTGCTCCTAAATAATCATAACCTGCTTCTCCTCCAGTTCAGTATTTCCTTATGACTAACTCTTGGTGAGAAGTTGGAACCAAGGACTGTAACATAAAAAAACAATTCAAAAATAACATAATTGTGAAAGAATTGGGGGACATAAAATATGAGGATAAGAAGACAATATATTCAAAATAACTGAATATAAAAATGCCTAGTATACAAGGTAGGAAGAGAATATGAACATATTTTGGAATCTAATGTTTTGCCTCTGGCTTCTACATTTGTGGAAGGAGTCTGGGATTGACTGTAGTGCAAAGGAATAATACCCAGGAACTTCCCAGGAGTCTCCACGAAACCCAATCCCAGGAGTGAGGAGGCATAGGTGCTCCTAGGTCTGTGAAAGACTAACTGCTCCAAGGACCTACAAGGCATATACTTTGTTTTCTTTTCTGAGATAATAGCAGTCGATTATGTGAACCTGTTCTGCCTGTTGAAAGAAAAGTGGGCAAGCTTAAAACCTGCCTGTCCAGCCATATCTGTTGGGAGGGAAAGCAATTTATAGATAAGATGGAAGCCATATTTTAAGAAGTAAGCCCACAATAAAGGAGAGTTCTAAGGAGAAAAAGGAGAGACAAAGTCAATATTACATTGTTGGCAAAAGTAAGAATGAAACATAAAAGGGGAAAAAATCAGGAGATTCAGATTATTTTATCTACACAGAGTGAAATTGTTTTGGGTGGATATAACCTGTTCAACCTATCTACCAGCTTACCAGTGTGGATTTGGGCTGTCCAGAGAAGAGGCATTATACATTTCATGAAGTAATGTGAATTGTAGTCATTCACAGGCTCAAAGAGAAAATTGTATTCAAAGAAATTCTTTAGGCTACTCACAGAAAATCCTCCCTGTGAGGAATGATAATTAAAGCCTGAGACATTAATCTACAAACCAGTAGACTATGAGGATATTCTATTATGATCCCATATTCTGTTATGAGAATTCTGCTATGAAAATAACCAAGTTAATATGAATTAGAAGATGTTTGGACAGGTTGAAATGATGGTTTGAAAATAACATATGAAATTTAACAAAGAAGAAAAGGTAAAGTTTCGCTGTTGGATGAGGCTTACTTAGCACAAATTCATGTGAAGAGACCTGTTGGCTTTAATAATCTATATGTAACCATGAGACTCACAGCTTGATTGCTCTACGTCAAAGGTACTGCAATATTGGGATGCATTCCTGAAGGAAAACTATGATTGGATCACACAAATTGATAACCTCAGTTTATATTGATCTTATCATTTGGGGTTGCTATAATTCATTGTCTCTTGATATTCTACATCATCTTGAAGATGATAGAAGTAATACATAAATTTAGCAAAAGTTCAAGTAGAGGAGCAGAGTAGCTTCCTCACTTCCAAGAGGCAACCAATCTTAAACTTTCACTACTAATAACCTGTGATTTTTATCATCCTTTTAATAGTTTTTTAAAATGTTACCATCACTTAAAAATACAGTGCACTTACACTCACTTCAATCATCCTGTCTGTATCCAAAGACTCTGTGTGTATGTGTATGTGTGTGTGTGTGTGTGTTTATTGTTGGTTTTAATTGGTTATATTCTATTTCTTGATCCTTCAACTTTACTCAGCATCTAATAATCCTCTGAGAACTTGATTGACATGTCTAAACTTCCTTTAATTTCTGTGCAACCTTTCCTATCTTTTATTTTTATATTTTAAATATTTATTTTTTAGTTGTAGGTGGACACAATATCTTTATTTCATTTTTATGTGGTGCTGTGGTTTGAACCTAGTGCCTCACGTGTGCTAAGCGAGCCCTCTACCACTGAGCCACAACCTCAGCCCACCTTTCCTATCTTTTAAAAAAGCTATTCTATTACTTCTGCTTTGTCTAGATTTATACAGCCTGCTTTGCTTCTATAACATTTATGTCTTTTGTTAATAGGTTGCTGCTGTAAGCTGGGAGCTATTAAACAGTCTATTCAATGGCATGTTTACTTGAAATATTATTTATAACAGTACCATGTACAGGTTGACAAATAGGTCAGTAACTTACCCTCTATCTCTCAAAAGAGATGATCTTACAGATGTCAAGATTAAGTGCCATCTTTTCTCTTTTTCTAATATATTCTCTATTGCAGAAAATCATGCCACATCTACTTAGTTTTGCATAATCAGCCTGCATCTATTTAGTTTTCCAAATATGCAAACTAAATATTTCCTAGTATATTCTTCCTTTTTGAGAACTTTGACTTTCTTTTTCTATGTTGACAAAACAACAAAGCCCCTACCTTCATCACACCACTAAAATATTTCAGGTTCTTACATACTTTCTATGACAGAATATTC